TCCCAATGTTTCATTGACTGATGTCTAATCAATATGAAATGTACAATCAGGACTTAGATCTGATTAATTATTTCAGGCCGTGTAGAATACTCGTTGAAGTCCACATCCCAAGGCTGGCAGTCAGCAGGGTGTACGTTCTGTGCCCCCCATTGACTTCAGAGAAGTTAGGACAGCTTCTGTTGGCTGTGATAGCATGCACCAACTGCCCACTTACAGTGGGCATGTTACAACCAAAGCAATTCATTTTATGTTTTCTGAAAGGTGTATTTTTTGTATCTTGCATAAATAAGTTATCAGAAAATCTTGGCTAGACAAATTATACTGTCAAGAGCAGAGCTTAAGAAGCTCAGAAGAAAACACACGCTATTCTTAAATTTAATAATGCTACAAAAATGTAAGATTTCCTTGGTAGGCTGAATGCTCAGTCCCACAGAGCACACTGCAGGTACAAGAGAGTGAAAACTCTGATAGTTTTCATACTTTTGCAAGAAGGACTTTTGAGCTTTATCCAGCATCCTCTTTGAAGAATAGAGGATTCAGTGTTGATTCTGAATTGCTCTCTCAAGATGACCCAAAGCAGTCATGGAAAGAGTGAATTTTAACGTGAAGGGGAGCAATAGGGGCTGAGTGCTAAGTGTTCTTGTTTTCAAAGCAAAATGTGCATGGAAAAGGTGGATGGTTTGGGTTTCAAAAATAAACATTTGGCCTCTAAGTTGGCAGCACCATGCCTGATGTTGTCTGAGGACTTCATTCCCCAAGGACTGCCCACTCAGGTCAGAGATGCCCAATTCATGTGTGTTTGGCTGCCACTCAGGGACCAGCCAGCTTGGAGCTTAGCAGGTTTGGTCTTTGGTGCACCCAAACGTAGAACCTGTCTGCAGACAGCACTTGATCAGGGAAAGTAGTGTGTGCAATGAACTGGTGAACCTCTGGGAATGTAAGTTGTGGTGAATTTCAGCAGGGTGTTTCTGCTGGCTGAAGAACGGTTAGGGCTTTGTTGTGTGGCTGTGATGTTCTCAGCTGGCTGCTCCTGGCCATCCTGTAGCTCTTTTGGATCACCTATGTGGTACAAAGGAGCCAGAACACAGAGTGTAGGTCAGATTTTACTGTGCCTTAGGAAGGTAGTGGCATGTCAGGTGGATGCTGTGCATAACCTGTGCTCTTCAGAAAAATCCATGTCTTTCTGTGGAAGTGCTTGCGTGCACAGTGTATTTCTTTGTTAACTGTATGTATACATAAAACAGATCTGGGTTGGAAAACAAATGTGTGTGTATTACACGTGACATATACATGTATGCAAACTCACTGGAGTGCATTTGTATGTTCATGGCACATACATAGAATGAGTCTCTCTAATTCCCATGCAGCCATTTGGTTTGCTTAAAGGACTTCAGTGTGGCCTTATCTGCTCCTCCCAAAGTAACCAAGTAATAACCACGTAGACACAGCAGAGGGATAACTGCACTTGTGTTACTTGGAGGGGACCAAGCCCTGCATCTTGTGTGATCCCCACTTTTTGTGTGTTAAGTGAAAAACAGAGGAATTTCAGATTTAAGACACATCAAAAGGCGAAACAGGAAAGGAAGATAATGGAAGCTGCATGTGCTGTCTGGGTGGTATGAGCTCAGCCAGTGTTTTTCTTCAGTCTTCAAAGAACATCGAACTGTGGCTTTGTTCCTTTCTCAGTTAAAGGACTGTTTGCTGCTGGATGCAATAGCAACCCAGTGGAAAAAGGGGAGCCTTTGCCAGCCCAGAAGTTACATCACAGTTATTTATCCAAAACAGAGTATGGAGACTGCCATCAAATGAAGTCAGTGTCATGAGTGCACAAAGGACATTTTCCCCTTAGTTTTTGTGAGACAGTCAACATTCATAAGTAATGGTTTGGTAGAAAAAGAGTGATCTTCTATTCATGGCTGTGAAGTATTGTTGTTGAGGACTTGAGCCTTTCATAGGAAGCACACAGTTGGTTGTGTTTGTCACTGATGTGGGATTTCAGCTCCCAAAAGAAAAGTTGTGGGATGAGGAATTCTTTCTTATTCATGTAGCATAATTATCAGGGATGCATGTGGAGAATATGCAAGGCTCAGAGAGACTGCGGGACATCTGATAGTGTTGTGAGGTGGATGCTGAGATGCAGAGGTGTAACAGAGAGGAGGAAGGTGTGCACACGTTCAGGGTTTGACACTTGGAATAATGTTATGTTACTGAATGCAGCATCTTCTAAGTCATGAACTAACAGGAATGGTACTTGAGGGGCTGTGTAATGAAGATGTAAGCAGCAGCAAAGAGTACCCAGGAGATGATAGGATTCCTTGCCCCTTCTCTCCAGGGGAGGAGGAACTGAATTCCTGGCAGCGAGTTGTGCTGAATAAATGTTATGCACACCAGAGACTCTAAAGATATCAAATGGAAAGATTTAATGATTGCACCAAGCACGAGGTATTCCCTGCAGCTTCAGAAGTATCACCCCAGCTGAGTTTTCAGACCATCCCACCTACTGTATTCAACTTGAAGGGAATTTCTAATAACTAAACGAGGCCCTCAAAGCCTAATGATTGCACCTTTCTGTCAAAAATCAAAATATTATAATTCTTTAGCCTGTCTAGGAAACCATTTCTGAACAAACTATTGATCGTTTCTTTCCTCTTTGGGCTCCTGTCTTAAGGCATTCGGTGATCAGCCTCTAACTTAAAATAATGTTTGATCAGACAAGATTGAGCCAAAGAATGAATGCAATAACCTGCAACACAATTGCAGTGAGGAAGACCTGGGGCATGCAGCAGAGTAATTATTTTTATTCCTCTGGAGTCTCACTGTTGCCACCATGGTCTTCTGATCCAAATGCCCAAGGAGACCCTGGTGCCCATTACAGACTGAGTACTCCCAAAGTATGTCCTCATCAAACAACTCTGTCTCTCCCCAGTTCTCCCTTGCAGCTCCCTTTTGTCCCATCTCCTGTTCATGAACCATTAAAGCAGTCTCCATTGGGCTGCTGCTGTTGTACAGGGCCAGCAGACCGCTTAACAACGGGCCTGGCATGGTTTGATGGGCTCTCTGCATGAGAAACCCAAATGAGGAAGAGTCTGACACATTCCTGCCCAGCCCTCTCCAGCAATTCCAGTGATGTGCAGGTTGGCAAACACTGTGTACCTTCTGTGAGACCTGGAGAAATACTTCTCAGCATAGATATTTGTTCTCCTTCACATCAAGGTTTGACCAGTTCAGCTGTCAACAATTCTTTCTGAATGTATGTTTATTCATTACATTTATTCATTTTATCCCTTAACATTGGCAGATGAATGAAGATTATTTGGAAACCTGGGTGCTTGTCCCCAGGCCCTTTAAATCTCGTATGTTTCCCATATGCTTCATCTTTGTAATTGCCAAAGTTGTAAGTCCAGCTTTACACCATTGCTGTGCAATATTGACGTAAATAACGCTCCCAGTTCCCACGGCAGCTGCTGCTGCTCACTTTTCCCACTCCGTCTTGGCAGCATTCCCCTGAACTTGCTCAAAGAGATGTCATTCATCAGATGAACAGGTTGTCCAGTGAGGTTGTGGATGCCCCCAACCTGGAAGCACTGAAGGCCAGGCTGGATGGGGCTGTGAGCAACCTGGTGTAGAGGGAAGTGTCCTTGCCTATAGCAGGGGATTGGAACTACATGATCCTAAAGGTCCCTTCCAACTCAAACCATTCCACAGAATCCTCGTTGGTGGAAGTTTGGGGGCATGATTGAAGTGGGAGGTCTCTGTGAAGCCCCAGTGAGGAGAACTCTAGTGTAGCAAGTGTTATAATTTTAATAGCAGTCATTAGTATTAAAGAGACACAGCTGGAGGACCCAAATGAGTCACTCCATGGCCAGCCAAACTAAGGAAGCCTTGCTTTCTTACCATTAAGCATTTTAATGTTCAGAATTTGTGTAATAAGGCACAGAGCTCACAGTGCATTTCCTCCCTTAGTGGGTTGGTGAGGGAGTGATGATAGAGGAACAATAATCGTAGTGAACAGGCTTTCTCTTTGGTAGCAGGTGGTTTATTTTGAGGAGAATTGTTGGAGGAAGAAGGAGAGAAGCAGATGCACACACATGCAGTGTGGCTGCCTGGTTCATGTCTTTAAAGAAGACGTATTTCAGGACTAAGTATGTCACCCTCCAGACTTTTTTGGCCATTCTTCTGAAGAACAGTCTCCAAAATTAATGCCACCAAAAGAAAATTGAAGCAAAATTATAGTATTTTCCCTACCTGTGTATTCTGCTCATTTGGAAGCCCAAGCAATAGCAATGCTGTGGTAAGCACAGGCGTAGATGGGGCAGAGAGGTGCTCCTGGGCAGGGAGCGATGCTGGGCATCCTGCAGAGCTCTCCCCTTGGGATTTTCCCAGCTCTGTACATATGTCCCTACATAATTGCATTGCATTTTGTATGGTCACTGAGGGAGACTACTTTGGCCAAATAGTCATGCAGATGATTATACCCAGCCTCAAAAGTTCATCAGGACTGTTACACAGCCCAGTCTTGGAGTCACTTCTTTGTTGTAACAGCCTCATTTTCTTTAATCATCAATGGTTGCATTGGCAGAGTGGGAAACGAATTCCAAGGAGTCGTGAGCTGGTGCAACAAACCCGGCGTCTGTTGTGCTGAATACACAGGACAAAGGAAAACGAGCACTTCAGGGCATCTGTGTTCAGCCAGATGTGGTGTTTATTTGGGAGGTCTGACTGAAGAATTTTAGAGCCAGTGTGCTCAAGTTTTGGGTAGTTGTGTTTTTCATGCATTAACAAAGACACAGAAACTTTCTTGTTATGTTGCAGTAGGAGAAGAAATATTAAGAGAAGGACCTGAGGATTAGGGACACTGCTGGAAATTACTTCTGTTTGGGTTCAATTCAGTATGAAACCAAAATGTGACTGTCTGGAGTGCAGCTCTGGCAGATAGCTCATGCTTGGTTTTGCCCGTGTAGTCACACACTCACCTGTTCTGTCTCCCTCTTTTGTTGCAGATAAAGAGTTAGGAGTCAGTACGCTCGCTGAAAATGCCGACCCTGGTGCTAGGGGGCCAGCTGTCCCGAAAATATCAGGACTAGAGAGGAGCCAAGAGAAGAGCCAAGACAGCAGCAAAGACCCACTACTTGAGCCCGTGGTGCCTAAAGACCCCTGCCCTCAGGTGGCCCAGCCTCTGGCCCAACCCCAGCTGGAACCACAGCCGGAGGTACCTTGCCCCAGCCCCGCGCTCGCCCCACGGCCGGAGGCTCCGGCCCCTCCAGCCCCACCGCCGGCCGCACAGCTGCCTCCAGCCCCGGAGGAACCCACCCGTCCGCCCGCGCCGCAGCCTCCTGTGCAGCACCCGCCCCGGCCGCAGTCCCCGGTGCAGCCGGCCCACCCCAACCTCCCTGCAGTGCAGCCGCATCCGGCCGCTCAGAGCCTCTCGCAGCCGCTCTCTGCCTACAACAGCAGCAGTTTAAGCCTCAACAGCTTAAGGTAGGCAAGCGGAAAGCCGCTCGTGTCCGTGTGCTGACTATTTGCAAACTTGCTGTCCCTGGTGGTGATGCTTTATGGTGCCTGGAAGAAGTGAGGGGGAACTGGGATAGAGGTGACAGCGCATCCCACCCCTTCCGTGGGAAATTAAGGGGGATTTGTGACCTCTTCTACAAATTCTTCCTTAAAATGAGCCAGAATCACTTTATTTTCTGGTGTTCCCAACAGTGCTTGGTAATCTCAAGCTCTTTGTTAATTTGCTTTTGCTTTTCCTGCCTGTCCTTGCACACTCAGGTTTTTGAAGGGGATTTCATGCAGCATAGACCAGTGGAAGAAAATCCCAATTCTTGCAGGCTGAGCTCTTTCCTGAAGGCTCCCTACTTTTACCCTTGCCTCCCTGTAAACCTCTGCTACTTTCTCCAACTACTGACATGCCCTAGGGCAAGAAATATGGTGCAGCTGCTGTTAGCCCTGCTGACAACTTGGCGTAGGCTTACACTGATGACATTCAGGCTTAATTTCTTCCTGCACTGACAACACCTTACAGTCTTCAGTGTTTTTCACCTCAGTTGGCCACACAGAGATAATCCTCACCTTTTGTAGGGGGATAACAAAATTAATGGAGATTAAGCAACGCGTTCACAGGAACCCATGATGTCTTTGTAAGTCACAGACCTCAGGTTTCCCCTGTGGCAATACAGTGCTCTCAGCAGTGCCTCAGCTTTCCCCGATTCTGAGCTTGCAGCAGGCACATGGAATTCGTCCTGACCTGGTGAACTAGTAGATGGTTGCCTCATGGTTTGACTAAAACTGGGAGTTGTTTAAGACTCGGATTTATTTTTAACCAAATTGGTATTGCTTGTCTTTAAAAGCCACTGCAATATAAACGTGTCATTACTTGAAATAACGACAAGTGGGATTAAGCACTGTGTGATTATACTGGAAACTTTCCCTGCTAAGAAATGAAACCTGAAAAATTGCAACCAGTATAATCCTGTGTATTTATTTTGCTGATTCATCTTCTCTCTTTATATTGTGGGGGGAAGAGAGTCATTAACAGAATAATAAGCATGTATCTGTTGTTGCCTTCCCAACTTCATTTCACGTTTTCCACACTCTTCCATCTTTCTAAGTCATAGCAGAGAAATTAAACTTTTATTAATGCAGCAGTCACTGATGTTGAGCTTCATTTGCCTGAAAACATGAATCAGAAGCAGTCATGTAGAAAGGACCCGATAATTAAGTAATGAATGCACAGAGCTGATTACTCCTTTGTGTGCTGTGCCTGTGTTGTTGAGGACAGAATCCCAGCCTCTTAGAGGGAGGGAGACATGTCCTGGGGCTTCGGTATGGAGGGACCATAGGCAGTAAGAGATGCTGGATAAGGGAGAGGTTGGAGAAAGGAGTGTCTCGGTGCTACTGATAGAAAAACAGAATAATAACTTGTATTTGCAATGTATTACTTTAATTAGTGACAGGTTTATCATGAGCCATGCATAGTACATTGGGGTAGTGTATGTGTGCTTTTAGAGCTTTTCTCTCTTCTGTGCAATGCTTAATTGCTTTTCTTTTTGTTAACAGCAGCAGCAGAAGCAGCACTCCTGCCAAGACTCAGGCTCCCCCTCCACACATATCTCACCACCCCTCCGCCTCACCATTCCCCCTCTCTTTACCAAGCCACAGCCCACTGCATACCTTCACGCCCACCCTCCAGCCCCCCGCACACCCACATCACCCCAATATGTTTGCCCCTCCTACGGCTTTGCCTCCTCCACCTCCATTGACGTCAGGGACCCTGCAGGTTCCAGGACACCCAGCTGGTAGCACTTACTCAGGTAAGAGACAGACAGATAGTGGCCCCAGTGTGGCAAAGGAGACTCAATCTCCAGTTTTAGTCAAAATAACTCCTTTTGGGTCCATTCTGTGAGAGCTGCTGGTTGGGTAGAGGGATCACTCACCACTGAACAATTTGGGACGATGTCAAAAGCAAAAACCACCCAGACTTTCCCAGTGACTTTTCTTCTGCCCTGGGAATGAAGAATTTTTGGAAGCTTGTGCTTTTCTGTGTCTGCTCCCCAGGGTAAAACCACTTCAGAGTTCATATGGGGCCACCCAAAATCTGTGAATGCTGTAGCAGATGTCTGTGCTGTAGCTGTGGTCTGTGCTCAGCCTTGCGCCCCTGCAGCCAGCCTGGCTAGGGAGAAGTCTGGTGGCCATGCACACAGCGCTCCTGAGGTCGGGTAATGTGCAGGGCTGGGGGGAACAGCTAGAAGTGGAGTGAACTGTGCTCTGTTGTACTTTTGGGAAGATGTCAGTTCCTCCCAGCTCATTGAGGGATCTGAGGGAAGAATATTGAGGATGACCAGCACTTTAGTAACATAATTCATGTCCATGAAGTAGGGGAGCTGTGTTTGTGGCTGCTTTGTTCCCTGACTTCAACTTACCCACGCTACCCACCTGCTCTATGATCTGTCAAGGAATTCAAGGAGAGCCTTCATGCTGCACCTCAGATGAACACTGAAGTGAAGGCAGGCTCCATTAGAGAGGGGGACTGGAGGCTTTCTTCTCTCAGTGTGGCCTATGGGGAAGAGCTGGAGGAGCTTTCTTAATCTGTACAGTGTCATGCTTTACTATGAGGAAGCTTAATGTAGAACCTCACTACTGCAGCCAGCAGAAATTGGCACAAGGTCTGGAAAAGTCCCTGAGCTCACGGAGGTTGCTTTGCTTTGTATTTCAGAACAAGATCTTCTCCGTCAGGAACTAAACACGCGGTTTTTGGCCTCGCAGAGCGCAGATCGTGGGGCCTCCCTGGGCCCACCGCCGTACCTGAGGACCGAGTTTCACCAGCACCAGCACCAGCACCAGCACACACACCAACACACACACCAGCACACCTTCACGCCTTTCCCTCACGCCATCCCACCCACTGCCATCATGCCGACGCCAGCACCGCCCATGGTGCGTACCCCAGGCAGAAATGTGAGGATAAGTAGAGCACAACTCTATTCTTTATTACGAAAATTTGAGAATTTGCCAGGTGGTGGGGAAGCAGTGCTGTGCTGCCCAGGTGTGGTTGGGGAGGACAGGACGGGCGGTCCTTTCCCTACTGCTGTTGTGTGTGTGATAGATCCAGGTGGCAGCGCAGGGGCTGAGGGATGAGGCTGCTGGCCGAAGGGGCACTCGTGCCTGGGAATCCCTGGTGGTTGGAATGGTGCACTCTGGTGCCTCCTCCATTTTCCTAGCTCATAAAGACCTCGCTGTACCTTGAAGGGAGAAAAACCCAAACCAGCTTCACTGGAAGTTCATTTTCTGTGTATTTTTCCTCTCTGTTGGTTGCCTAATAATAGGGAATTAGTCTGTGTTACCAACAGAAATGAAGCAACGAAATAGAAAGTAACTAGTTTGTGCTTTGATCCCTTTGCAGTTTGACAAATACCCTACAAAAGTTGACCCCTTCTACCGTCACAGTGTGAGTTTTATTACTCTGTTTAAACTGACATAATTGCTTTTCTGTGGTGGGTTGGGATCACCACTCAATCAATGGCACAATGTTGAATCTCTCCCTAATCATCACTCCAGGATTTACCATTACCGTTCTTGGTCGCTTTGGCTTTTGAAGGCTTGCATTTTATGGTGCTTGTTTCTGATAAAGATGCAGTATCAGCTTTTCCAATCAAAAGATCTCTTGCTCATACACCATTGGAAGACAGGTTTGCTGTGAAAAAGATGAGACAAGAGGTGGCTGTAGCGTGAAGCAGTACAGAGCAGTAGTTTCATCACTGTGTTTCGGTGGTGCCAAAAGCACTTAAGAATGATATTTTCCCTGAGAAATCTGGAACGAAACGTCAAACTATCATACAAACCCCTGAGGGATGGGTAATCTAATAGCTATTCTAATATATCGTATTTTGTTTTATAAAATTTGAAAGCTTGTCTTATTCTTCCCATTTCAAAAAGCCTGTCTGACCTACTGGGCTGGTTGCGCTCTGTTTGATGGCAGTGAGGCAACCCAGCTATGCACTAGACATGCTTATCTCAGAGCTACCAAAAATGTTGATTATTGAGATGAATTCATTTTTAATATGAATTGTAAAGCTTCTGCTCTTAAGGTTTAGAATCCACTGATTGATTTGCTATTGAAATGTGGGTGACATTTCCTTCTTCATACCAACAAAGGCAGGTATTTCATTCATTTGGACAAGAATTTCTAAATCCAGTAGTGATATTTTGATGAGAGAAGGAGTACTGCATCAGCATTCAGAAATTTGCAAAGCATTTGGCTTCATACGTTGATTTTGCTTAGAAGTGGAACTGGGCAAGAAGACTGGTTAAGATGATGGTGTGATGCTTTCTGCTGTCCTGATTAAACGCAGTTCCTGCTCATAACTGATGCCTGTAGCACATGTGAACAGTCCCACTAATTCCTGACACTTTGGTTAAGTGTACAGTGTGTGAATGCCTGCAGGACCATACCTGTGGGAGTGTGAGGCAAACATTTAAGCCAGGGATAATCACTCAGAAGGGTCACACTGCTGTTTGCATCACTGTTTGCAAAACTGCACTCTTGTTTGTGTAGCTTTACATGGATTCAAAGGATAGATTACCCTGAATGTGGCATGTTGATTCAGGCAAGAACATGGAACTGGGAAATAAGTTATGAGTTTTGGAGAAAGAAAGCACAAAGGTTGACGTGTAAAATAGGAAACAGTGAAATAGTCCTCAGCTGGGTATTGTATTCAGACTCATGGTGAATCCTACAGGTCTCAGTATTACCTCTTTTCAAGTAAGGTCAGGCTTCCAGTTGTTCTGTGATAGCCAGGGTGCCAGGATGTTGGCCTTGGTAAAGGCAGAGCAGCAGGGCCCTGGTGCTCCTTCAGGAAAGGTTTGTCCTAATGAAGTTATTGCAAAGTAATCACAATTGGCGTCTGTTGGATATTTAGCAAGCTGATGCCAAAGATCAACATGATGGCTATAAATTTCACTGGATTAGCAGCCTTGCTGAAGCTACAGCAAGGTAGTGGTAGCCAGAGCATTTCAGTAATCACTCCTAGGATGAATGTGGGTTGTGAAGGTAACAGAGCTGCTTGCATCAGTTTCCTGACCAGCCTCTTTTGCTGCCATAAGTGCATACCTGCCAGGGCTTTTTTCCTTCTCCAAATACCTGAAACTTTGGCACATCCATAGATCCTTTTTTAGGGGTAAGTTTCTGCAATAGATCTTCGCTATGTGTTCAACTGCATCTTAAAAAAAAGCTGACGTTGTCGTTAAACCCTGTAAATGAACTCTGCAGGAGAGCAGGAATGTTTGTTGGAGAGTTGAAATCGATGTACGTTAGAAAAGAGAAAGCAGGGGAAGGTCAAATTTAATTAACTTAGCGGTCGTTACAAAACTAAGAAAAGCATTCCTTATTATTAGTTGTAGATAATAGAATATTAAGCCTCGCTCCATCTTTTGAAATTAGTCCATTACGCACAGAATTAAATACAGAAGACACTGGAGGATTCAAACCACATTTTAGTTATTAAAAAGTTACTGTCAATGAGGACATGTCTTGTAATGATTTCTAGAGTACCCACAGCCCAGCAGCAACTTGTCTGAAGTTTTTTCTGCATCACTGAAAGGAGCAAGTCCAAATTAAAGAGAAGTGAAAACAACAGAAATGTGTTGTTTGGAAACTTTGTTCCATGCTTTTAAATAAACAATCTCTTGATATCTCTGACCTACTGAAATAATTTCCCATATTTCAGCACCTGTAGCGTGAATAAATGGCCTTCCAAGATTGAAGCTACTGAAAGGAGAACTCTGATTTTGAGAGAAAAGATTCAGAAAAGCACACACGTACATTGAGTTAAATCCATCAGAACTTTGTGACACTGATTTACTGTGGGATGTGATTCTCTCAGTGTTTGCCCCCTCCACACGTCCAGCTTTTGGCTGTTTCTGTTCAGCTGGCCAACTAGTCCTTTATTTTGATCCCAGAAGCAGCACACAGGAGGTTCATTTTCGATTGGCTGAGCCAATTTTATCAGCCAGAGAATCCTTCAGTGCCAGTACCAGTGAGGTTAGCAGCCGTCCCCTGCTAGGTCCCAGTGTTTCCCAGTGAGAACATCTTTGCAGTGAGATGCTCTGAATCCCCACCTCCTACCAGAAAGCAGTTTTGTGTGTGATCTCTGCAATTCCTGTGGAATTGTGTGACTTAACTGTGTTGCAGTGTAAGGAAAAGATTCACAGACAGACCTCAGAGACAGATAGGATTTGGTCATGATGGTTTGCTTGTTTCTCATGTGTTTGTCTGTGTTAGCGCAGGAGAACTTTGTTTTTGCTGAGTTGTCTTAGTGCAGATACACTGGGATCATTGAGATCAGTGGAGATTTGCCTCTTTTTATGCCTCGTGGTCTGTCTTCTAAGACCAGTGCCCTCCAGTTTGGGGGGTTCTACTTTAGCCTTTTTTAATAAGTAATCCTTTTTAGCAATTAAATTCATCTGTCTCTGCTGCTCCTGGAAGTGGCAGGATATCCTCTCAGACAGGCTAATGAAGTAAGAATTGTGCATATTTTCCTCATTTCCGACAGAAACCATTAAAATCCTAGCATACTAATGGGGTTTTAATGATGCAGTATCCTAGAGCTTGTGCAGGTTTGTTTCCCACTCAGACAGTAGCATTGTGTGCCCTGTTTGGCCGGGCCTTGCCTTTCCTCTTGATATCTTCTGCAAACCCTTCAAAATCCCCATCTAATTTAAAAACCAGTCATTGCACAACAAAAGCCTCAGCTACGATGGCCCACTGCAGAGCCAGCAGTTGCTGGCTGTATGATTTTGGAACTGCTTTTAAGCTCTGAAGTGAACATCATGACATTTGTGAACATCTCATTGACTGCTTTAACTAACATTGTTGCGGCGGGATCACGTCTTCAGCTCTTCTCCATGTCCCATTTCCCTATCTCTGCAGGAATGCTTTCGCTGTCTCGTTCAGCTGTCCGTCCTTGTTTTGTAGTGCGCACGCATTTATGCTCCCCTCTCTTTTTCTGTTTCAGCTGTTTCACTCCTATCCTCCAGCTGTATCAGGTATTCCTCCCATGATCCCTCCAACGGGCCCCTTTGGCTCACTCCAAGGAGCATTCCAACCCAAGGTAGGGTGTGTTTCCATCTTACCATCAAATGCGCTGGTTATTCTCCATGCAGTGGCATGGTTAGCTTCAGAAGCAGTGCGATTGGTTCTCAGGGTAGCATGCATTAGTGTGAGGTCATGTAATGATCAGGATTTTAAGAAGCAGTGATCGTTATTGTTTGCTCATTTCCATAATTGTCTCAGAGCTGCAGCACAATGTGGTGCATTGATTTAGTTCCCCACTCCTTTATGATGGCGATGATAGTTAAGTGTGATGAGTTTGTTTCTCTTTTCCTTTGTTTTTATGAAGTCACTCTTGATTTATGAGTGGGAGGAAATCATTTTCTGTAGCCTGTAGTCTGTGCGACTGAAGGCTGAAATCAGGACTGAAATTTCTGCAGAGAAGACACCTTTCTTAAATTGGCCCATCCACTCTAATGACTGAATATGTAAATTGCAGTTCATTAGTGGGATTCTTCATATATATGTTAATCAGTCTGTTAACAACTCTGTTACTTAATTGTTAGTTATACTGCAGCTGATTTCTTTTTTCTTCATTTTAAGTGAGGAAGATGTTGTCTAAATGTAGTGTTTTTTCCTCCAAAAGATGCATTTTGTTGTGTTAGCCGAATATTTACATTCAAATCAAGGGAAAAGCTTTAATTTTTTCCAGCTAGATGTTGCCTATTCTGATGCTCGTGTGGTAATATTCATTGTGGATGCAGTTCAGATCCTTGCCACGTGGATTGCTGATGCTTTGTGTGTGGCAGTGAGGGCAGCAGTTCTAGCCAGCTCCAGTGCATTATTGATAAGCAGCAGAGCACAGCCCGGGTATCCCAGGTGCTGCTTTAGGTGCTGCCTCATACTGCTCAGCTTTTCGGAGGTGAGAGGAATTCCCAGTGCAACAGTGCTGTTGCCTCATGTGTTTCAGATTACTTTAACTAGTGGGAAGGCAGTGAGCAAGGCGAGTTCTGAAATTGAGATGACAGTGCATGCATCACTGTGTGGATTATAGCAGTTGTCCTTTTTGCTTAAAAGAGTTGATCTTCACAGCATAGGCAGTGTTAATGATGAAGAAGTACTGTTTTTCAGTTTGTGTTTTTGTACTCATCAATGCTCTCTCCCTGTGTTACAATTCTAGACTTCCAATCCTATCGATGTTGCAGCCAGACCTGGAACTGTCCCACATACCCTCCTGCAGAAAGATCCACGGGTGTGTAAAAAAGTATTACTGTGTTCTTCAAAACTAAAGCTTGTGAGAACTATTCCTTGTGAAAACACTGAGCACTAGGGCTGCTGTCTTCTGTATGTCCAAATCAACGTGTGAAACTAAAGCTTAATCTGAACTATTAAGTAAGTCGGTGAGATCAGAGAAGTTGGATGAGGACAGTTTAATTCCTGATCCTCCTGTCCATCACTGGCTAAAGCACATAAATGCCGTGCAGTGCAGAGCTCTTTCCTTGCTGTCAGGTGGCATCCCCACAAGGCTGGGGGCAGACTCCAATTCAGCACAGAAACGTTCAAACCTCTTTGAGATTTACGTTTATATTCTGTAATTGTTTCTAATGCGGGTAATGACAGTTATTCCCTTGGTTACTGTATTATTGATTGCAGCAGCAAAATGTGGATGCACTTTATTGATCACTTGGTGCCTCTGGATTTTGAGTTGAAGCACATGTGAACAGCATTTATTGTCTCAGCGCTTCGTCTTCTGGCTTTTTTCTGTTCTTTGCAAATGCCCTCGGGTTGTTTGCTTGTTTGATTGAGTATACATTGTTTGCAACGAGGAACATCATGCAGTCCTATTTTTTGCAGAACTCTCTGACAAAAATCAATGTTGTGGAATTGGTCAACTTTTGAGCTCTGCAGAGCTATTTTCTTTGTGTTCTAGTAGTTCGAGTTTGCTCTGAATTGGTGCTGTTGTTGAGCTTTATACCGAAAGGACCTGCATGTTTTCATGTCTGCTCATTCCACCCAGTCAAAAAGATAACTGGAGCCTCCTATCATTAAGTTACTTCTCTTAATGCTGCCTTTCAGCTTGTAGTGCAATTTTGATTGTTTCAAGATGATGCTGCGTGCCATCACCAAGTCTGCAAAATAGCTCTTCTGTTTGTAGATCTCCTTTTAAAGGAGATGGCTCTATGGATGTGGCAGCACCCGGTGCCATTGCTGCTGAATGAGCAGGGCAGTGGCCTGCAGGGCAGCCCAGCACGCTCAGTGGGAGCAGCCCCCTAATACTGCCCTGCCCAATTCCAGTCTTCTTGCAAGCCAAGCAGCTCTGAAAGATGAGAGCAGAAGTTTGCCCAAAGGACATAGCTGTGTTCTTCTTCAGAGCAGTTAACCAGCCATTTTGGTAGCATTAAATTAACAAATTAATGCAAATGCCAGAGGACAGAGTGCTCAGTGTGAGACTTGTTGTGTTGCTTGTCAACACTTAGGTACAACAGCCATGGGGGGAGGGAGGCCAGCTCCAATACGGAGGCTGAGGACTAATTATTATCTGAAAGGACTTCATTTGAAAGTAAAATTATAACATTTTAATTTCATCTCTTAATGAAGCAATACAAATTTGTTAATTAGAGCAATTGTTTGAGTGACAGGCATGTAACCAAGCTGTCATTTCTTCTTCACAGTTGACAGATCCGTTCAGGCCCATGTTGAGGGTAAGAAACCTTCTTGTGCTACAGTTTGTCGAGCTCGTCTCAGTCCCCGCCGGGTTGCAGCAGCACACTGGTTAAAAGCAGCCACGTGTTCCATCTTGGGGATTTTTCACTGTGTTTGCTGAGCAGTGTGGTCAGCATCTTGTGGTCACTCAAGGAAATAAGCAGTTTTAAAGCTAGAAGTTCTCCTGTTCTCACGCAACCCCTTATTGCAAACAGCAGAGGTTAAATATTGATAATCCTTGTATTGCTGTGGCTGACAAGGTTCCCTGAGCTGATCCTACAGACTGCCCTGGCAGACATCTCTTGCCATATTAATGCAGGCTGAAGGATTCTGCTTTTTAATGTTCATTGTGTGTTTTGTGTGTTACTCATTATGGAACTTCCTACCCGAGTATCTTCTTGTCCAGCACACACAGACAATCCACTTTGAACACAAAATACTTTGGAGATAAGGATTCAAAAGATTCAGTCTTACAGTAATCCAAAAGATATTTTTGTTGGTATTTCAACATACTCAAGGAAGTACAGACCACGTGAACTCATTAAATCACTAATGCAACCAATTGCTGTGAAAAAGCAAAAGACTTGAGTTTAGGTCTGCGTGTGTGAGAGAGGGGCTTGGTTTTTTTACTTTATTTGTAATTGATTTTTAACTGTCGGCTGACCTACACCTAGAAGGCAGGCCTGTGCCATAGTTTGTGTAGTAATTAAGTTACTGGTAGCTTAAGAAGCTGCTTTCATTCCTATGATTATTTCTAAATCTGTGCAGGAATCATTATTCATGTAGTTAACTACAGACCCCTAAAAAACAGGATAATAGAAAGTATATCCTTATCAAGTCCTTACTGACTTGATTTCCAGATGTCCTAAAAATGGACTACTGAATCAGTGAAGAAGCCAAATCATGCTCTCTGGTTCTTTCCTCCCTTTCTCAGCCCCATGATTTAGAAGCATGGTGTCAGGAGGGATGCAAAGAGCCAGCTTAAGCCAGTTCACCTTCCCAACCAGAGTGAATGGACTGGCATCCAATTTTGGGGATTTACTGGTGAGCCAAAATGTTGCAGGTACAATCCTATAGTTATGTGAGGGAGTCAGATTGATTTTGAAAACCAGACTGAGATTTTTAAGTGTTTTTATTTGGATCTTTTGGTGGAAAGGCCAGTCTTAGAATAGCAACGCTTTTGGAAGTGTACTCAGTGTACTGTATGAAGCAATCCAGCTGTGCAGAGCAGTTGCTAACAGGCAGATAGTTCCAGCAGCACGAGCTGCATTCTCAGCCAGTGGCATCAGAAGATTGCAGGAGTGCAGAAAAACAGAGCGTGGGTTTGTCTGGAGAGGAGGATGACCAGGAGCATTCCTAGGGTAAAGCATCACAGGTATTGGAAAATCATTAATTCATGCTGTATCCCTCCTGTTTTTTCCAGAAACCCGGGAAGTGGTGCGCTATGCACGTCCACATCGCCTGGCAGATTTACCATCACCAACAGAAAGTCAAGGTCAGTCCTTGGGGCACACCTGCATTTCACATACATTGCACAGTACAGACTTGTGAGTGGGAGAATTTGCCTCTTGCTGTTAGCAGTGCCATGGCTCATGCCTTGTTAACATAACCACAAGTAGCATCATAGCTGTGTTGCTCCTGCAGATGTTCACTGTAATAACAGGGAGGAAAGGTTGCTGTCTTTGTTTGGCCTTACATTGCAGGAGTCAGGAGCTTGTGCTAGAAAGTGAAATCAACAAGGAGACCCTACCACTTTGCAGTCTTTGTATGCAACTGAGTTGTATTATATAAGGTAGTGCCGTAAGATTATGAAGATGTTGAACAGCTACTAAAATCTACAGCTAATAGAGTTTAAAAATAACCCTTTTAAACAAGGTTGACAGGTTAATTTGCTGCAGTAGACGTATCTCTCTTCTCTGCTTCCTTATGTTTCCCCTGCTAGTGATCTTCATTCATCTTCCCATTATCAAAAAAGACAAGATTATAGACCTAGAGAGTTATATCTCCTTTTTTTTTTCTATTTTATTGAAAAGATATTTTCTTGAAATGAAATTATTGTTCCCATGTTATCTGTGTCCTTTGAATCTTCTTTGATTTGATATTCAAAGAGGTCATACTGCTATATTTATAACCCATGGTAAATGCCATTTTTATGCAGCCATTTCTTTTACCTACTGACTTTGCCTGTTTAAAAACAGTAATAATGCTCAGGCTGTTGGGAAAGGGCATTATTTGTTTTTTTGAGGCATGGATGATGATAATTTCAAAAATAATTGGAAAATGCATTTCACTATCTCAGATCAGTCAGAAAATGAGGTATGGTCTGCAGTCATGAAGGCAGAAATGCAAGAAACCCCAGGAAAGAATGCATGTAGTTGTAGATGCCGTTTGCCTGCCTGTACCTCAGCAGCAAGACACCATTCAGACATGTGTAACCTGTCTGCACACCCAGGGGATTCCTGAGACACAGCATGAGCCAGACAGCAGCCCTGGGCACAAAGCAGTTCTAGCTGTGGATCAGGATGACCAGTGTGAGGTCAGCCTGGATTCCAGGCAGATTTTACGCTCCCCAATTGGCCCACTCCCTTTTAGGATAGGACTTACAGCTTGATCTAACGTGCCATGAAATTAGTGCAGGCATTTGCATTGAGTTTAGTGAGCCCTGTGTTAAGGTGCTCAGCATTTGCTGGACCTGAAATGCATTCATAAGGATTATCATCAAGAGGGGGGTTCTCTGGAGCAGCAAATGGGAGTAAAATGAATCTGATCAATTTTCTTCCATACTCTTTTAAGGTAAATCAACACATTCAAAAGTCTTTCAACACAGCCATGATGTTCCATTCCTCTTCAGACAGGGGATTTTTTCATTGTTAGAGCAGTACTATTCATATGGCGGCAATTAAAGTTTCTGCCAGATTTGCTGTTCTGAGTAATGCCTGTCAGAGGTTTATAACTTGGTTGTTAAGAAGAATAAAAAGAGCTCACAGCCTAGAAATCTGGCACACAGCCTTCAATTGAGGCATTTGTGTTTTCTGATCTTTTTAAGTCATTGCAGTGCTGCAGTCTGACATCTAAAAGACGCGACCTTAACATGGCCATCTTCTGCATTTCTATATTTTTGCAGGTTATCATCTCAAAACATTGATAAATCCGCTTTTTTGTTTCCTTTTTTTCCTGCTCATAGCTTCATAGACATGTTATTAGCACTTGAAAAACAGCTACTAGGCATGCACATTAACTTGGTCATAACTTTTTAATATGCATATTTATATCATTGTAATAGTCTGTACTCTGAGCTGGCATGGTATTAAATATTGATTTATTAAGCGTAACGTGCTCCTGAATTACTGTTAAGATCTACTGGTTCAGTGTTACACGTTGGTAAATCCTTTCAGCTGACCTGCACAATTAATCAGCAATCTGTGTTTAGGGAGTTCTAGCAGCACAGGTAATTGGGAATTTGGTTTTCCTCTGCATTCTATAAAACTATTGAAGTGGGAACCACTAAAGTGAGTATGTGACACAATGAAGAATTCATCCTTCATCCACTTATCATTTACAGTACAGCTACATCGGGAAATACACTTTCAAAAAGAAAATCTGCTCATTCTAATCCCATATAAATAGAGGCAGTGACATACAGTGCTTTGAATTTGGAGTGCAAGCTATCAAAATGAGACTTGAGTTCTTCAGACACTACTACACTTCATATGTAATTTGCTTCATTTTAGCCCCTGTCTTGCTCAATTGCAGTTTGAGAGGCGCTGAAAGATACACATCAATACACAGCTGCAGCTCCACATTTAAATGTGATGGTTCTGGTGTGTGTGTCACTGTCTGATGAGTGATATTGCAGTCAGAGGTCAGCTGGCAGCTCTGCCTCTTGCACTTGGTGCTTTCCCTGCTTTCAGCATGCCTGCCCACCTGGGGCTCACATCCAAACTAACATCTCTCTTTCACTTTGTTTTTATTGTTGTTTTAAAGACAGACCTGTACGTACAGCCAAGTCTGTGTTTAAGGCCTCTTCAGAGATTTCAGTGTTTGTTCCGTTCAGTCAAGTCTGTGCTAAAACTCTTTGCTCCAGAGCAGTATATGTGTTTGTAAAGACACTGGTGAGCCCTGGGCATTGTTAGGGAACCTGAGGTTGTTTGTCTGCTGTCCTGGGGCTGGCTCTGCACCTATGTCCAAGGTCCTAAAAACTAATATCTTTGTTAAATCATCAGTTGTTACGAATAAATTGCTATTCTGTCACTAACCCACAGCATTCTGAAAGTGCCTCTTAGGGCAGTCTCTTGCAAATCTTTTTTTTTTTTTTTTAATATTTCAGAAACAGATGCAGTCAGATCCACACAAGCTGGACTTTGGCCTGAAACCTGAATTTCTGAGCAGGCCCCCAGGCCCCAGCCTGTTTGGAGCCATCCACCACCCTCATGACCTGGCCCGGCCCTCGACTCTCTTCTCTACAGCCAGTGAGTATTGAGGATCAAACTCTTTCTTTGGCATGCTCATTAGCATGCTAATCTGTGCCATGTTGACAGGAAATTTCCCATATGCTTTGGCTTATGAACTCTGCAAGACGTGCCAGAGGCTATTAGTCTATTTGATAAATATTTTAAAATTATTCCATGTGCTTTTTAAAAAAAGAACAACAATGTAATGAAATGCCATGCAGGTTATACACGGAGAAACATTTCACGCAGTGATATCTGCATCATGGAGATGACAGGTTGGAAATACACTGTGTGTTCCCTTTTTTTTTTCTTTCCATGCTGACACATTTCTCCTCCACCTTCTATAACTGACAACTTCTGTTCAGAAGAGCAGCTGCTGTTTGCATGGGAGCCTGACCTGAACATACAGCAATCTCTGCTTATGTGAGGTGCTGTTTAAGAGTAGTCAAGCCTAGAGCACAGGGAGTCCCTCTCTGAGCATTAGCTAGGAATTCACTGTGTTGCTTTGTTTTGGCAGGTGGGGCTCATCCAGCCGGCACCCCTTTTGGTCCTCCACCTCACCACAGCAACTTTCTCAACCCAGCTGCTCACTTAGGTAAGTGTAGCAGTGCAGTGAGCAGCTCTTGGCCCTCTCTGTGCAAGCCACTCACTGTGAATACAACTCAGACATAACACACAGGCATTTTCTGGCCTGTTACCCTCGCAGGATCTGCTGTAGCTTGTTACACTGTGAATATCCATTGATCTGAGCTAGTTCAGTTGTTCTTTCGTTATCCAGAAGGCTGTGTTAGAGCTTCATGGAGCACAGTCTGCATGGAGCACAGTCTGAGCAGCCACCATCTTTTTTCCAACCAGAGTCAAACCCAAAAGATGCTCCTCAGCATAGCCAGTCCATGGAGATAACAGTTAAGCACACCTGTAGCACCACAAGGCATAAGCATGTTGGCAGCTGGGTCTCCATGATGGATCCTTTAGCACAAGCTTGAGGTCATGCATTGAATTTTTAGCAAGCTGTGTGAGTTTTTGCACTCTGCTTTTACTCTGCTACTATGGCAGAGTAATGTCACATTGTTCTTACTTCATGTCTTTTGGTTTAGACCATTAAAGGTTGTCCGTGTGCCAGTTCAGCCTTTAAAAATTGTACATTTTATCCATTTGTCTTCTGTAACCCAAGCAGCAGTTCTACATGCACATAATAGTAAAACTGACAGCAACGTTTAAAATACTTCAGAGAAAAAACTACCTGGGTGTTAGAGGAGTAGCAGGAGGTTAGGATTCAGTGTAGTTTTGTTTATAAGCAGTCAAAAAATACCTGAAGATTAAGGCTCAGATTCAGAGAGGTGTTTCTGGTCTTAACTGCTACTGAGATGTCTGCTTTTTATTTCAGTGAGTGGGAAGCAGATCCTTAAAATCTTGTGGTCTGATCTTAAATGTGTATGGCAGTGAAAAAATAGCAAATAAACGTTAAAAAAAACGCCACCAACATTCAACAAATGTTAGCTTCCTTCTCATTTAATGATGTTGCAATAAGCAACCTGCCTACGAGAGCATCAGAGATCAGGACTATAATTCGATATTTTGTTTTGCATAGGGAGGGATTCAGGAGGATCACCAAACTGCTGCAGCAGACTCGTGATGTGGTTTCATCATTCTGTACTGAGCTGCCTATAAAAAATGCTCGGTTTGTCCTTCCTCTTCTCAGTGCTGATGGTTTCATCAAAATCATTAAACTTCTCTGAAATTGAGAAGAGAATTTGCTTCATTTGGCTTACCTACACCCTGTGTACATTAAGTGCCAATATTTTTCATAGTCCATACTAGTTTTACATACAGTAGTAGCAGTAAATACCAAGAGCATTACAAGGTGCTGAAGTCAGCATGACATATCAGTACAATAAGACATTTTTTATATATCCCGACTGTGGTGTAGGAGACATGGCTGAGGCATGGCCTGAAGGTGTTTTGCAAGCACAATTGCCAGACTTACTAATTGCCTTGCTAGACAGGGTCATTTCCTGAGGACAATGGAACTGAGTTGGAAGGGAATGAAAAGAAAGAAAAATTGAGATGTTTGCAGATTTTAAGTGGAGTCGCTGCTTTTGCTGGATTGCAGGCCTCCCTACTGTGTGTAACATCTTGTTTTGCTTCGAAGTAGAAGTTTTTCTTGTAAGATGATCCTATACATATTTCACTGGAGAAAAGATTGGTTCGTATTTCCCATCCTCTCACCATCACTGCTGTGATGCGAGTAGATGATGTTGGTGGACACAGATTGAGCTTTCATGCAGGCGTAGCACAGCTGGATAACACAGTAATGCCTTCTCACAATGACCAACACACCAGTGAGCTGTTTCCATTGGTTTGCAGAGCCTTTCAATCGACCAGCTTCCTTCAGTGGTCTCACTGCAGTGGGTAGCAATGCCTTCGGGGGACTCGGCAACCCGACAGTCAGTGAGTAACCTCTTTGTTTATGAATTCTTGTTTGCTGTGTAATTCAGGACGTGGAGTGATGGTGACTATTTGCTGTCATTTTATCAGTTGCGTAGGTCACACATCAGTAAGGGATGGTAATTTGAAAAGTGAACTTTTTCTTTTAAATAACAGCATTTTTAGTCACCAGTGAATGATTTTCTTTTAGTTACCTCATAGTTTGGGCTCAGCGTAGTGCTAAATGTCACCATTACATTGTTTATTAAAAAAAATAATAATAACTGCATCTAGAACTCATGAGTGCAAGGAGTTTGTGGGATTCCACATGGTTTTGTTGCATGGTCAAAGTAGTTAATGTGCAGTGCTTATTTGTAATCCCTAGCTGTGGATGAGAACATTTTTTTTTCCTTTCTCACCAGTGAATCCAGGACATGTGCCTGGAAAAGATCACTAACCTGCATTTATTTGTCCAGGGTCATCAACATTTCTCTAGATTTGGCCAGTCACAAAAGATCATCCTTTTAAAAATCACTCTCTTTCACCATACTCCAAACCTGGCATGATTTTGGTCGCATATTATATTATTTTGGTTCAGGATAAAATGCAACAAGTTCCATTGTTTATATTCAGTATAATGGTCATTTCCTGGTGTCTCCAAAATATTTGGACTAAGGATCATTGTCACTTTTATCTTTCTGTCTTCATTCCTTGTCAATTTTATCCACAGCATTTCCCTATCCAATTAAAACAGCTGTCAGATGCCTGCCCATTATTAGGAATGAGACCCTCTAATGAATCTCTGTTAATTTCCTTTCCTTTTCCAGCTCCCAATAATATGTATTCATTTTAACTCTGAGTGCTGTAAAAGTTTTTTTGGTAAGTACCTTCACTAGAGCATACCTTTTTCTTAAACCTTTTTGTTTTCCACTTCACCATTTCAGCACCCAACTCAATGTTCGGCCACAAGGATGGCCCCAGTATGCAGAGCTTTAGCAACCCTCACGAGCCCTGGAACCGACTGCACCGAACTCCTCCTTCGTTCCCGACCCCTCCGCCCTGGCTGAAGCCAGGAGAGCTGGAGCGCAGTTCATCTGCTGCAGCTCATGACAGAGATAGAGATGTAGATAAACGAGACTCATCTGTTAGTAAAGATGACAAAGAAAGGTACGAAAGAACACTTCCAAGAATTGTTTAGTTCAAAGCTTGGGGCTCCGTTCCGCTTTTAACCCTTCCCAGCCTGGCACATTGTTAAACCAGAGCTTCAGAAAAGGGACACTCGGGGGAGCTGACGCCATCATTGCCTACGATGCAGCGCTGGCAGTAGGGAAGCTGCAGATCTGCCTCGGGTGCTTCCTGCTGCATCTGTTTCTCTTCTCACTTGCACCTCAGTTCATCAGAAGGAGCTTTGCTGGAGCAGAGTTCAGGCGGTGTCAAGTGAGAACAGAATGCTTGCCTTGTGGGTGACTTTTTAATAGGTTTTTTGAAGATTCAATGTGTAGATAGGTGCCTGACAGGATGCAAAAAGAGCTGTGAAGTCCATCAGACACATATCTGCACCTGTGAACACTTAACTTTGTAAATCCGATCCTATCTGCAAAACAAATAACCCTGCTTCCACCCCCTAAAATGGCCTGAGGAGAGAAACCACTGATAAAGTTGTAAAATTACACCACCATGAAATACAACGGCATGACATTTTCCAGTACCACAGTAAGCTTCAGTGCATGCCATTTGTTAAATTGGCCTGTATTCCCCTGCAGAAAACACACATACATGCACTGCTGTTGCTTGCCTTCAAGCACGGTTTTTGTTCAGTGTTTTACATGGACTTGCACTCTAACATGTCCAGGCTGGGAAGGGTTAATGAAAAGTAAAACCTGGTCATATATTTTTTTGTCAGGACTGTTCCCATTCTACAGTTAACTCCGTAACAATTCCTCTTAACATTTAAGTACCAAATTATGAGAATTTGCCATTCAGCAAGTGTCATGCCTTCCTTGAAAAATATAGAGAGGCTGATTTCAGCTTTTCAGTTGTGGCTTAATGGCTTTCCTGCTAAGTTTGCACATTACTATGTAATGGCTATTTGTTTCTAATTTTTTAACATAAAAAAATATTTAGGAGATGTGCTTTTCTGACTTCTCTGTCACTAACCCAAATATTAGTAGCCTTTTCAAAAAGAAGTTATGCTAACACATTAGATATTCTAAAAAATACATTGAAGAGCTTTTCTATATTATTGTAAAATGCGAAGAGCAAGTCAAACTTCAGATTTTGTCACCTACATTTTCCATTTGGAATATTTTCTGTTTGGTAGCATAGCTTCATTATTTTCATGTCTGGTGTTAATGCTTCCAAATAAATTTCTGTTAGAAATTGGGGATTCTGTCCTGTGAAATGCTTAAGCATGTGAGTAACTTTACTGGCTTGAATGGCAAAGCATTTTAGTTACTAATGATACGGGTAGTATTTACAATTGTGTGATTCTTTCAGTTACTGATTTGTTGTTTTGTTATGAGGCGTTCCTGCCGAAGAAAATCCCTTTCAGAAATACATCCCCTGCAAGCAGCTTTAGCATTGCCTGAACTCCATATCATAGCTCAGAACATAATTTATTTTCAGTGATTTGAGAGTTTAAAAGTAAACGTCATTCATTCTTCATGTTTCTGCACAATTACGGCTACCAGTTCAGTACAATAATGGTTTTACTGATCCAGTATCACTATGCATCCATGTGATTTTGAAGAGTTCTACTTTGCAGCATGCTCACACTGTTGCCTGTTTGAGAAGATGCAGAGAATTCCTTCCTGGAGACGTTCTCCCTACATAGATAATGTCTGGTGTAGCTTGTGAGCCTCTCATACCTCTCCTTTGACCTTCAGTGGCACCCAGCAGGGTGAAGGTGTAGCCTCACCCTTCTGGTTGAGGTCCCAGTCTGTGTTACCTATTTTTTGCTAACTTGACCAGACAGAATGGGGAATAATGCCCAGAGTTCTGGTAAAATTTCATCTCAGAATTCATCAAAATTGTCCTGACATTTATCTGCCACCAGACTGGCCATCTGGACAAAAGCATTCATCTAGACTTCTGCTGTAACCAGTAGAAGGTCCCTTGCAGGTTCCTCTGAGCTTTCCTTCTCCTTGTTTCGGATTGCTGTCGAAATGAGTTGCAGCGAATCGCTCATTGCTCTTCTAGGATAATGCATATATGGCCAGAGTACTGCAGCCCTTCCCTAGCTGGACTGAGATAGGATAGATCCCTGAGGAGAGTTTAACTATAGAAAATAACGTGAAACTGCAGTCTGTGAACTTCTCCCTGGTGCAGAGCTGCACCTCCACGTCCTGTTACAGTTCTTACTTCCTCCTGGAAGACTGCATGCAATTTTTTGTTGTTGTTAAGGATTCTTATTACTGCACCCCAGCATTAGAAAAAAAAAAAGTGAATACAGCTGTTGTGCAAAACAGAATTTGTTCCTTCTCTGTGTTATTTAATTTAAAAGATGTCACTGAGCAATTCCATTCTAATGAGGACATCAATGTGTTTGTAATCCTGGAACTTCAGAAAGAATACAATTATCTATTGTTCTCTCTGTCAACATAAATGAAGCAAAATAATTGGCATAAGATGCCTTGCACATTATCTGTCAGTATAGCATACAGCCTCAAAACGTACCTTATTTAGTAATCAGTTCATTTGAGAACATGATCTAAAGTTTCTTTTTTGGGGAGACTGAGGTTTAGAGCTCTTCCCATATTATTGACCTAAGGACCCCTTGATAGATTTGAGGATAAAAAAATGATTCCCTCCGTGACCAATGGACAACCATTTACATAAGTGAATGATTACCTAAGTAATCAATAGCCTCTTGAGGTAATGCCATCACTGTAACTGAAGAGGATGAAATTGCCAAAGGAAATGTTATTTTGATTGCACATGTACTTTCTTTAATTACAGAAAATGCCCATTATTTTCTTAAGATTTTACAAACAATTTAAAATACGTAAATTACACAGAAGAATTGATTAAATATCAATGAAAGGACTCAGCTCCTCCTAGTGAAATGAAACAATTAAAGTGCCCTTTAGTCAAGGTCTCACTGTGTCCAAATCTGGAAGTTGTTTGAAAGACTTAAATGTTTTATGGAGAGCAAGAGGAAAGAACCAGGACACAATTTTTGCAGTGTTTAGGGCACAGTCAGTCAAAGCAGAACCTGGTACCCAGGAGTTAATTAGTAGTCAGTGCATACAAAGCAGCTCTGGTATCAAATGCTCTAACAGTAACAGTTGCATTCTGGACTCTTGAACTTTTTTTAGACATAGCCCATAAACTGACAGTTCTGACAGACCAGTCTAGATACAACAGAAGATTCTTCTGGTGAGGTCCCAATAATGACAGTTTCCTTTTTCAAAGATATTGTTAAGCAGTTGCTGCAGTTTCACTAACCAGAGGTACCTACAGGTTAGAGGTACCCAGAGAAGAATGTAAATTGGAGCTGTTCAGGCACTGCAGAGGACCCTGCTGCTTACCCCTCACGTTTGCCTTTAACAGCATGCTATCCATCACTCTGATGGAACATAATTCCCATATCTAGCAAACAGCACTTGCTCAACACTGAATATCTGGAGCTGTCTTCATGGAGAAACTGCAGCTCTGAAATCAGTAGCAGTTAGTGAGACATGAAAAACATGGGAACTGAGGAATTCATTTTACCTTTCAAATTGGATTGACTCTAAGTAGGAAGACTACTCCACTTGGTCAGCTCTACTTTCAAAAAGTAGTTGGTACAGGATCCATTCAGATAGGTGTTTTGTTATCCAGTGCCAAACAATTATTCCCTAAATCTTGTATGCAGCATAAATAGATTTCAGAGATGGAAAGAACTTGCAATGTTTTGAAGGCTTCCTGGCCAGTAGCAGGAGATAAATCATCAGTCTTCGCTGTGCTCACTCTGCTCTAGAAATGGGAGAGGATTGGTAATGATAAAAACAGCAGACTCCAGAGAGGCGCTACTTTGAGAGCTAGTTTGAATGATGAGCATCACTGCTGAAGAAGTCAATGTATAATCTATACATGATGGCCACCTCTATTAAAAGACCTGCACTGAGGCTTATTTCACACTTAGAGAAGTGCCTGTCTTTTTGGAGGTGATTTGTCTCCAGAGTACTGGTGTCTTGTGAAGTTTTAATCTTCAGCTTTGAGAAAGAAATTGAATTGTGAGAAGTAAACTGAAAATCTGGAAAGATGAAGACAATATAGATAAGAAACTTGTAATGTAGAGAAGTACGGAAGCTTCTCTGAAAGTCAGTTGAACAAAATATTGTCTATTTTCCCAAATTTATTCTTAATAGAAGCAGTGGGTAAAATCCTATTACCCGTGTAATTTGGATGTAATTGCCTCCACTTTTTTTTTGCATGAAATTGGTATGTTTTTATTATTCTCTCTCCTTTTTCCAAACAGTTAAGGCTGTGATCCTAGAAATATCTTTTCTAGAGCTAGATTCCTTGGGATCCATGTGTGGACTTCACTGTTTGAAGTTTCAATCAGATCACTCACAGAGCACATACTTCAGGGATCTTCTTCTGCACTGAGATAACAGAACAGACCTAGTGTAGAGATGGGATGCTCTTCTGGTGTTCTGAATGTGTAAAAGAGGCATTGCATTAGATGGTGCTTGTCACTAGCTTTCTGCAAATCAACAAGTACAGTCAGACATCCTCAAGGCTTTGTTTCATTTTTGAGAGTTTCTTGTGCTTTAATTTTTACACTTCTCTTTCTTCCTAGAGAGAGCATTGAGAAAAGACACTCCAGCCATCCTTCGCCAGCACCTATCCATCCAGTAAACTCCCTCGGACATAATCGCAGCTCCAGTGAGCAGATCAGGAGCCATCTGAATCCTGAGGTTCGAGAAAAAGAGAAACCCAAAGAGCGAGAGAGGGATCACTCCGAATCTCGGAAGGAAATTAATGTTGAAGAGCACAAGGTGAAGGACAACTATATTTCAGAGAAAGAAAGCCTGAGCCATGAAAGCCGAGTGGTGGAAGAGTCGAAGCAAATGTCCAGGGTTCCTTCACCCTATGCTAGGCCACCTGTTGTGGAAAGCAGCAGGCCTAACAGTACTTCAAACCGTGAAGCTGAGAGGAAGAATGAGCCAGCGTACGATAATCCGAAGAAAAGCAATGAAGTCAAAGTGAAGGAGGAGCGAAAGGAAGACCATGATGCTCAACATGAGGGACCTCAGACTCACAGGCCGTCTGATCAGCCACCGCCTATATCTACGTCTAATGTCCATCCAAGTCCTTTAGTGTCTATGCCCATGACTGTAGGTGTAACTGGGATACATCACATTAACAGCATCAGTGGCCTGGATAGGACTCGCATGATGACCCCTTTTATGGGAATTAGCCCAATTCCTGGTGGAGAACGCTTCCCCTATCCTTCTTTCCACTGGGATCCAATGAGAGATCCCTTGAGAGATCCTTACAGAGAACTAGATATTCATCGGAGAGACCCCCTGGGCAGAGACTTTTTGCTAAGAAATGACCCCCTTCATCGTCTTTCTACGCCAAGATTATATGAAGCTGACAGATCGTTCAGGGATCGGGAACCTCACGACTACAATCACCACCACCATCACCACCACCCTCTCTCTGTTGACCCTCGACGTGAGCATGAGCGGGGCAACCACTTGGATGACAGGGAGCGGTTGCACATGCTCAGAGAGGACTACGAACATGCACGCCTGCACTCAGTTCACCCGGCCGCCTTGGATGGACACCTGCCTCACCCAAGTCTCATCACACCAGGACTTCCTAGCATGCACTACCCCAGAGTCAGTCCCCCGACAGGACACCAAAATGGTATCCTCAATAAAACTCCCCCCACAGCAGCTCTCAGTGCCCCTCCACCACTTATTTCTACGCTGGGGCCTCGGCCTGGGTCTCCAAGAAGGACTACTCCTCTGTCAGCAGAGATGAGAGAGAGGCCTCCTTCTCACACCCTCAAGGACATCGAAGCTCGATAAGCAGAGCGAGACTTAATAAAAAGCAGAGAGAGAGGGACAGAACATTGTAAATGAACATACAGACCTTCTTACTAGTCTATTGATACAGACTGGGAATGTGACCCACTGTACAATATGTATAGACCTGAGTGCAAAGATTTTGAAATGTTTTTTTTGTATATTATATGTTGAAATTTTCCAGATCTTTTAGCCAAGTCCATATGTTCCTCGTGTCTCCTACTCTATTTTATTTCTAGTTTAAAAGTTTCAAAATTTGAACTGAAGAACAAGACGTTAATCTGAATGATTTGCCTAGAAACAAGCCACCACCAATGACAACCGTACAAAGCTCTTTTAGACCAGAAGTGAAGACATTTGTAGATATTTATGTAAAAAGAGTGCTTCATGGGTTAATGGTTCATATATGCAAAAAGGGTAAGATGAAAGCTTTACTTTGTACAAATGTAAATAGATAAAATTAAGTAACATAATACATTAATACTTCTTAAACTGTGCTATTTGCAAACTTAATATTGATCAACACAGTCTGCTTTTGCTGTGTTACATATATTGTTATAGACAGCTAAACCCCTTCAACTATGCAATGAATTTTAAGGCTTTTCACAAAAGCCTTTATAACTCAAAGGAGCCTTTTCAACACACAACATACTTAAAGTCATATTTTCCCTGAACAAGCTCATCTATACCTGAAACCTATTTCTCCTGCTTGTTTTGATGAAGAAACAGCCCACTAGAGGTGTAGTTTTCTGTCTAAACCCCTGCATCAAGATGCTGATGTTACTGTACCTCATGTATTCCTTAGAGCGCATCAGGTTAGCGATCTATAATCACTGATACTGTCATGGCAAGTAGGTTTTCAGTCACATTAATCTGGGTTAAACTGAATAATAATCAAATGCTGGCTGTTTTCGAGAATTTTTGTCACTTAACACGTCAGATTTATTTTTGGAAGAACCTCTGCTAATAACCATTCATGTCTGTGTGTCATTTTTCTCTGTACGCACACTTTTTTTTTTTTTTTTTTTTAAGTGATGTTTAGCTACACTGAAACAAATCCTGCAAGAAAGCCAATACTTTTCTAGAAAAATGATGGATATGTTTTCACTGTGGATCAGTAGTTTAATTAATGAACTCCGCTGCAGATTTCATAATGCAATTTGTTGTATTTCAGTTGGTAATAAAGTCTGTGAATAGTTAACAGGTCAGCCTTGTTGTTCCCTAATCACAGAAGACGTGAATTCACATGAAGAACACGGTCCTTTTTAACAAAATGCATCATTCTTCTGAAATCTGTCTTTTCATAACACACTTTTTTATAACGCATTAAGTTTCTTATCTAAATATTTGGAGAGAATATGACTTTATCTGAGAGAATTCACTATCTTGTCTACTGGACTGTAAAATATATGTATGAAATAAAATTAGTTCCATTGGTCTTCTAGTGTATTAAAGTGCTATCTGAAGTTGTTATCCTGTTTTGGCAAAAAAAAAAAAAAAAAAAGAAAGAAAAAGAAAAAAAAAAGAAAAAAGGTAACTACAGACAGTTGTTTCTAATGATCAGAGATCTATTTTAGTAGTCAACTGAAGGTTTAGTTGTGAGCTTCAGATTTTGTGAACTCCAAATGTTGTGCAGTGTTCTTTTTCCATTTGGGTTTTTTTCTTTTTTTCCCTTTATTTTCAATTTTTTTGTTGTTCTTTTTTTTGTTTTGTTTTGTTTTTTGTTTTTTAAGAACAGAAGGAAAAATACAAAACAAACAAAAAAAAAGAAAAAAAAAACAACCCTGAAGAATATGTACACTGGAACCGTAGCGGTAGCTTTCAGTATTGTAAAGAGATTGTTATATACAAACCTTTTTGCTGTTTATCCTGTATGTAATAAAGTCCTTTCTAGATCCTATGTGAAAAGAAAAGTGAAGCAGCTCTCAATCTTCAGCATGTTTCCTCATCAGCGAAGACTTGTGTAATGTAAATTGTGCCATGTTATTAAAAAATGTGAACTAAACTGCTAGGTGCTTCTTTGTGTGGAGTACCCCATCGTTGCTATGGGGAAGAAATCATACCTTTTCCCAAGAGTGGGTTTTTGTTCAGAAGAAATAGCTGTTAAGAATGGAAAGGACATGACAAGACTTTATAAGCTATCTTACAAAAATGATTTTCATGGTCAGGTAAAAAGGAACAAAAAGGAAACCAAATGCTTGGCTTGCCTGGATTGTTTTAAAATGTGCTAACGCCCTGCTTACGTTTTCTTTTAACTGCTGACCAGCTGTTCTTTTAGGTTAGTCCCGTACTTACATGTATGTAACTCCTTTTGTGAGTTTAATGCAAGCCAGTGGCATTTTACCAGTTTCCAGCTGAGGATATGGCTCTTGGCTACTGTGACTAATTTGGGAATAAATACGTACCATTCCTTGCAAAGTTTTTAGCTCCTAGCACAGCTTTCATGGTGACCCTTTCTGAAACAAGCGATTGGCTCCTCATGTGGGATGATTTCCTGCAGGTACTTGGTCATTTTCTTTGTGTCTGTTACTGCAAACAGTTCAAAACTTTTTTTGAAGTTTCTTTTGCCAGAGATGATTCATGACTGAATGACTGAAACTTGCTTTCCTTAACAAGACTTAAAACTTTCTTCTGGCTCAACAATTACCACTTGTTGTGGTAAACAGTTGAATGTATGCAGCCATACATTCAAGCTTAATTTTGTTTCTCTCTGCTATTGCAGAATTTCTGTCTGTTCTGTGTTATTCCTGCAAAATCTGAAGAAAGTGGAATTCCTCTGAATTTCAACTATGTAACTAAGAGAAAAGAGTAGCCCAGTGTATTTCTGGAAACCAGTTTATGTGATCTGTACATATCCTTAGTAGCAGCGTACCCAGCAGTAGTGTAATACACGAAAAGAGCTTTTTTTTCTGCAGGCAGCCTGTATCTCGGTCTTCTGTATGTACATCATTAAAAATTATTCAACTTCATGAAGGAAAACAGTCACAGACGGCTGTAGAAGGATAAAAACTATGGGAGAAGGCTTGCATGGGTACAGTGAGGGAGTCCATGAGAGAGGGTCCAATGACAGGATCATCTTCCAACTCAGCTCAGCATTTTAATAGGTGTTCTAGCAGCTTTGTCCATGTCTTCAGGGGGAATAAATGTGGATTGTACCGACTGTGACCCTTGTCCTCACAGGTGCTGAGAACACTCCGGCTAATGGTCCTGAATTTCCAACCAAGCCAATGAAACCTCAATCCCAGAGTCCGAGAAAGAATTGAGGCATTTCAGTCTTTGAATTCAGTGCAATTTAAATGGGTGTCTGCCTTTGAAGAACAGTGTGAGGTCTTATGTGATCGCTGACGTTCAAAGAACATGCCTGAAAGGTGTGACAAAAGATGTAACAAGATTTTAATGCTTATAAATTTTTCAGATGTATTCATAGCTTCTCAGAAGTTTTACACTGAGTCTTTAGCTTGCAGGTAGAGGACAATCTTGTTAGCGGGGTTTTTCCTAGCAGACATTTGTCATAATTCTTGTACTTATGAATCACCAGCATTTGAAAAATTAAACACTTAAGACGTTACGACATACCACCCATAGGAATGAAGGGACGCTGAAGGGTATTGTTTTATGGAATATGAGACATAAGGACTAGAGAAACCTCTGAGTGACTGTGCTTGAAACACGCAGGACTTTGGTTTGTGCTTTAAGGATCCCACCATGCCCCACTACAACTAGTTCTTCCACCTAGCAGCATCCATCACAAGTTGGGATGGCAGTTAAATCAATGTATACAAAGGGGTTCTTTAAAACCAGTTCTCTGACAGAACTTTGATTCTTTGCTATACTTTTCTTTCATTTTGACTTTCCATGTTGTCTTTGTTGTCTTTCTAAATGCCTTGTTTCCTGCTATATACACTTTACCATGCCTTTCTGCCAGTCATGCTTTTT